ATCGTAACAATATAAATTGATTCATAAAATGAGGGATTTATCGTAACAATCGTAACAATTTATTTACAACCCAATACCTTATCGTAACTAACTACATAGAATTATCAAGAATAATAAAGGATAATAAAATTTTATTACGTTTAAAATATAATTATTCATACTCTTTTCAGTTTTTATATTGAATTGTTTCCAAAATAAAATCTTAATTAAAATACAAAAAATATTCGAATATATTTCAGAATTATAGGAATGATATTTCAAAAAAAAAATTTGGTCAATATTTTAATTTAAAATCTTATTCCAAATATGGAATATCCTAATTCCTAACTAATAAAATCTCCAAAATATATGAGTTACTAAATCATATTCAAATATTCACACTTATATATCAAGTAATAATATATAATCGGTTTCCAAAAAATTGTTTATATATTATCATATAACTATTTCTCCCCGCACATAGTGCGGGTAAATCATCTAGTTTATTTAATAATCCAACAGAGGTAACATTCTCTTGCATAATGATAGAACAGAGATATAAAAATCCAAAATTATAAAAAAAGTTTTTGTTAAACTTTAAAATACAAATACATATCAAAACCAGAATAAGTGCTAGATGAGAGTGTGTGAGCCTGAGCGATGCAAATAAATTTTATCATAAAGTGAGAGATGCAACGTGACATGCATGTGGGTCATATATAGTGAGAGTCGAGATACTCTTAAATAAGATTGAATTTTCCATTACGGATTTTAAACCTCGACAAAACCAAACGGTCCTATAAATAGAAATTAAAACAAGACAACTTTGGTTCGTATAGAAAGGCCACACTAGGCTCCAGCTAATTATGTTCCCATAACAGATTGTATAACTAAAAATAGGAATTATATGAATTTGAAATGAGAGGCCACAAAAAATTTACGCAGAAAATGGGGGATTGCACCTTTTGACCCACAAAAAGGATGAGAAAATTACGTAAGAGGGAGATGAGAACGACGACGAAGCTCTGTGTTCGTTCGTGCCTCCTCTTGTCGAAAAATAAAACAAACTTAGGATCGTGAAAGAGAGAAAATAAGGAGAAATATGGTAGGAAGCAAAGAAAAATCGAAAGAGAAACGAGATAAGAGACTCCAAGAGATCTCCCTCCTACGTACAATTCCCTACTCTGATCACCAGAGGTATCAATTCCCATTCTAAATTTTATTTTCCTTAACGTAACCTCTTGTATGAAGAAATTTGGTGGTTTGGATCCGCTAGTGCATGTAGCATTGTCACATATATATACAGGGTCCTTGAGCGTGAAACATTTTATGTGTTGATTTTTATGAAATTTTGCTTATAAAAAAAGTTTGTATCCCTCTCATTATAAGGAAGAATTACGTTTAGGTCTAATCAAGACATATAAACTAGTTTACTTGTACAAGCTTATCGTCCAATAGATGCAATTATGAAATTCTTGTTTCCATTGCATTTTGATTATTTGATCTCTCTTGATGTTACATGAAATTCTTATATATGAGATTCATTCGATCTTTCTTTTTTTTGGTCTTTGTTCCTAAAAAAATATTGGTTTTGATTCTTATGGGGGATTGTTTAGGTGGTGGACCTCTGAAACCGTGGCGGTGGTAACAGGTGCAAATAGAGGGATAGGATTTGAGATGGTGAGACAATTGGCTGGACATGGATTAACAGTTATTCTAACATCAAGAGACGAGAATGTAGGCGTGGAAGCCGCCAAGATCCTTCAAGAAGGTGGATTCAATGTTGATTTCCACCGCCTCGATATCTTGGACTCTTCCTCAATTCAAGAGTTTTGCATATGGATTAAAGAAAAATATGGATTGATTGATGTTTTAGTAAGTTTATTCATTAATTTATATCACATTTGAATTTGATGACATATAGGCTTTTATCTTGATGAGTTATGATGTGAAATATTTTTATGTTGTAGATAAATAATGCAGGAGTAAACTACAATGTTGGATCAGATAACTCCGTTGAGTTCTCGCATATGGTTATATCTACCAACTACTATGGTACCAAGAACATAATCAAAGCCATGATTCCATTGATGAGACATGCTTGTCAAGGAGCTCGTATTGTCAATGTCACTTCAAGGCTCGGTAGATTAAAAGGCCGACACAGTGTACATATATACATCTATATATCTCTCTAACTCGATTCTTATTCCTTTAAAATTATGAAAGAATTTTGACCTAATTCTCTTCAACAGAAACTTGAGAATGAAGCCGTGAGAGCGAAGCTTATGGATGTGGATTCTCTAACAGAAGAAATCGTTGACAAAACAGTCTCAGAGTTTTTGAAACAAGTGGAAGAAGGAACATGGGAATCTGGAGGTTGGCCACATTCTTTCACAGACTACTCTGTCTCGAAAATGGCGGTGAATGCATACACAAGAGTACTAGCAAAAGAACTATCTGAGAGACCAGAGGGAGAGAAAATATATGCAAACTGCTTTTGTCCCGGTTGGGTGAAAACCGCAATGACGGGTTATGCAGGGAACATCTCAGCAGAAGATGGAGCTGACACTGGGGTTTGGCTTGCATTGCTTCCTGATCAAGCTATCACCGGAAAGTTCTTTGCTGAGAGACGTGAGATCAATTTCTAAAGAGAAGATTGGAATGGTGTTCTACAAGAGTTGATACTGAAGTTAGTTTTTAGTTTGATTCCTTAAGATACAAGAGTTGATATGAAGAACCATTTATCTATGAACATCTTTAGATTCTTCTCTTCTTTTCCTTTTTTTTTCTGTTGTCTTTGTGATTGTGATCAGTTTTTGGTTTATAAATATGTTCATAGTGATATAATTGACCGTTTTCTTTGGCTTTTAAAAATAATTATTAATCTCGTTATGTTCAATAGAACCTTTTGTAGTTGCAGTTTTATATGCTCTTACAAGTTACAATCACTTATGTATATGTTAAATTCCAAATCTAATTATTATCAATCTCGTTAAGTATTTCGGTTCGGTTCGGTTCAGTTTGGTTTGGTTAGAACCCCCTAAAAACCAAGTGAAGAAATAAGAAGGTTAGAGCATCATTATAGGGAGGATCTTAGCAAAATTTTAGCAAAATCTTAGAATAAAAGTGATTACATTTAATCAATTTTCACCTTTAACACTAACAGACGTTCCTTAGCTAAGGAACAAAAGTTGGCTTAAGAGACGTCCACGTGGCACGTGATCATTGGGTGCTATTTTTTCCTTTCTCTCCCTCTCACTGAAATCGCGATTTGCGACAGAGAAGAAACCAAAGTCGATTTGCGAATTTCAACTTGAATCGGAGGAATCTCAGACCGCTGGCCGTCGTTCTTCCGTTTGGCCATCATCTCCACCGACTCCGGTTGTTCACGGCGTCTTCGGTTCACCAACCCAGCGAGGTTGGGTTGCGAAATCGGGGAGAAAGTCACCGGATCTCCCTCCACACTCCGACTTGGTAAATCCCTAAATTCATTTCTCTCTTTTTCTGCTGCTGGTTTTTGCTGCTGGTTCGATTTCTTATATGGTTACTTCTGGTGGATTCTTCAGCTTCACTGCTTTCTGGTAAAGTCACCTTTTTTTTGTTCTGTTGATTAGAGTTTAAGATATTGAGTTCTTGGATTAGTGTGGAGTTTTAGATGAATCGTATAGATCCAATCCCGAGAAAGTTGTGTCAGAATCTGAACTCTTTTTGTTACCTCTGGATTTTAGTGTTTAGGATTTTGAAGCAATTTTGAGTGAGTTTTAGACAAGTGTGGCTTTATTTGTGTATTGCTTCATGATTGTGGATCGATCTAGGATAGTTGTGTATTGCTTCATGATTGTGGTTCTTTTGTTATTTGAAGTGCAAAGATCTTGAAAACATCTGATATGTGAAATCTTTGATTCTGTGACAATTTAGCATTCATTCTCAAGCATATGTAGAGGTCTTTTCGCGTGTTTGTTATCGCCTATATGATCTTACAATTGGAAGATTTGGTTGCAGCTATCTAATAGCAGCAATGGGTTTGCAAGTCATATGGAGTTTCGGTCTTGCTATACTAGACACATTCGCCTTAGTGAGAAAGAAAACGCTTCTTAGTCCGGTTTTAGTCAGCCTATTTGTAGTTGGAGATTGGGTAAGAGTAGACCCTCTCTCTGTCTGTCTCTCCTCTCTAGTAAATCAAACAAAGATCATCAAAATGCTAATCATTTTGTATTTTCGGGTTTAGGTAACATTGACATTGTCATTAGCAGGAGCATCATCAAAATGCTAATCATTTTGTATTTTGGCGATTTAGGAAGCTGCAGTTTTGAAGCAGAGTGTTGGAAATACCAACTCTCTGTAGCTTTAGCTTTCCTTTGTTGGATCACAGTCGCCATTACACCATTTTGAAATTTTTGATTCTTTGTTTTGTTAATAGAATACCATTACACCATTTTTAAACTCTCAGTGTATAAAGATTACTCTTGTTTATGAAATTATGAAAAAATGCTCTCATTTTTATTAAATTCTGTGGGACATTTTCAATTATGGATTATTGTACTAAAATAGATAGTATCTTACGTTTATAGGCAAGGCAAGATTGTGAGCTAATAGGCAAGGCAAAATGTGATTATGAATCTTTGTTTTGCATTTGAGAAGTTGTTGATGTGATTATGAACTCTCCAAACACCAATTACACCAAATATACCAAACACCAATTACTTTGCTCCAATACATCATATATGTTAAAAATTTATGTCATGTATGTTATAAATTGTATCTCATGTATGTTTTAATATTTTTAATTTGCAACAATTATTAAATTTTCTATAATTATAAATTTTATTTTTATATTAATATTTTTTTTCTAAGAACCACATGTTAAGAGCCTACCATTAATCACATAAAAATCTTAACTCAAAAATACTATCTCTTAACAATCACTTTTACAAATAAATTATTTAAATATTACTAAGATCTATTTCTAAGAAACTACCTATAATGATGCTCTTACACGTGGCAAACAATCTCACCACTGGTTCGGAGAAACGAAAACGTCGATCGTCACAACCTTCCTCCTCCTGCTCTTCCTCTTTCTCTAATCGGCAAAATTTTCTGCTCCTGAGAAACAAACAGATACTAAAGATGGAATCTTTGAACTAACTTCGAAACCTTTTAATGGGTACTGAGTCGGGTTCGGATCCGGAATCGAGTTCAAACGGTTGGAGCCGTGCTCGTGGTCTAGTGGTCAAGACTCTGGTTTTAATTGGCGGTGCTCTTCTCATCAAGCGTCTCACTAAATCCACCACTCGTAGAGATCACGCTCGTGTCGTCTCTCGTTCTCTCACCGGAGAGAAGGTTTTTAAACCCACAATCTCAATGCTTACACTTAAGGATTTTTGACTATAAATTTCTGATTTTGAGGTTTTTGTTTACATGGTTTTGAAGTTTACAAGGGAGCAAGCGTCAAGAGATCCTGAGAATTACTTCAACATAAGGTTAATGATGTTCTTCTTCTCAAACTTATGATGCTCTTTAGTGGAATTTAGACCTTGATGTTCTATTTGGAAGTTGGTTCAGGATTGAAACTGTTATATCTCTGTCTCTAGTTTGTTTCTTGGCATCTGAGTTTGGAATTGTTGTGTAGAATGCTGAGTTGTCCTGCTGCTGAAATGGTGGATGGTTCAGAGGTTTTGTATCTCGAACAGGTGACAGATCTTTTACTTCTTCGTTGTGTTACGGTGAATGATGTAAATGTGTTTTTCTCTTCATGTTTAAGCCATTTTTCACTCATTTCTTCAGGCATTTTGGAGGACTCCACAGAAACCGTTTCGACAAGTATGCAATCATTCCCTTCACGGTTTATCTCTTGATTGATTCAGTTAGGGAAGTGTATTATTGTGTTGCTGAAGTCTTATGTATCGTTTGCTTATTTTGGTTGCAGAGATTATATATGGTTAAACCGTGTCCGAAAGAGCTAAAATGTGATGTCGAGGTGAGTATGAGTTGTTGAGATCTTCTTATGTATTCTAATGCAACAGAGTTTGACGCAGTGTTATTCCAGGTAAGTTCATATGCGATCAGAGATGCTGAGGAATACAAAAACTTTTGTGACCGACCTAAGGACCAACGCCCACTTCCTGAAGAAGTTATTGGTGTAAGTCTTAAGGTTTTGTATCGATTGAGATATCTGGTTACTGGAAATTAAGCTTATAATGGACTAAACTAATAGGATATTGGGGAGCATTTGACAACTATACACCTCAATTGTTGTGACCGTGGGAAACGATGCTTGTACGAAGGCTCAACTTCACCTGGTGGATTTCCAAATTCATGGGTAATGTTCTTATAAGAAAAATCACTGTATATCGGTTTTTACACTCTTCTTCTTCCACACAAAAACTCTTGACGTTTCTTTCTTGGATTGTAGAACGGGGCTAGCTATTGTACTTCAGATCTTGCAGTTCTTAAAAACAATGAGATACACCTCTGGGATCGCGGCTTTGATGAGAATCGAAACCAGGTACATCCCATCTTCCTCACACTTATTGGATTGTTTCAAGATGTCACGACCAACAAATTCTCAAAAAAGCTCATCTCAAATGTTTTGGTTTTGGGACATGGCAGGTTTGGGGACCAAAGGAAGGACCGTACGAGTTCAAGCCAGCGACATCATCCAGCATCAACGAAAACTTGTCTGCTTTGAACATCCTTTATCAATCTTCAATTGATAAACCAATCCAAGGGTCCCTCATCTTGCAAGATTAGCCAATTTTCACTCCTTTTCTATTGTCTAATCTCCTCTGTATCACACTTAGCCTCTTTATTCATCTCATCTCAGCCACTTTCAATATAGTTTTGGTACATAGAAAGCTCAATACTTTACTTCATTACAGTGGTTAACAAGTCGAAGATGAATGTTTATACAAAACAAAAATATGATTTCAAAAGCAGAATGTAGCTTCTCTTGATGCAGCATTCATGTGGTGTTGTTGACATACAAGTAAAGAGCCGCGAGAGCCAAAACTCCAACCGCAATTGCTATAGGCAAAGCCTTCCTGCGTGATTGCCATAAGATAACTATAAGAAACAGAGTAACAAATATGTGAAATTGATGAGAAAGGAGGATCCTTTATATACCCGACAGCTTCGTCTCTTTGGAGCTCAGCTTTTCTGGCCTTCCTCACATCTTTGTCGTTGACATTCTTGCTCACATCAGGCATGTAGGGTCTAAAACGCCGTTTAGGAGCAGCACACACTGCAAACAAAACCTTGATCCCATTTGAAACCAAACACAATCCCAACTAGTCAAAGCAAACTTACTTGTCGATTCTTTAAACATGAATCACTATACCTGGACAGAAATAGTTGTCAGGTAACTTATCAAATGGAGTTCTATCATTGTAAATATACCTGCAAAATCAAAGAGAAGGAGATAGATAAACAAACTTTGTATGTTAGAGATAATCAAGAAGAGAGAAAGAGAGATCAAGATGGAAACAGACCCGCAATCACGGCAAATATAGGCTTGCTTAGAGGAGACACGCATGGAGAATCTAGGAGCAGAGGATGAAGATTTGGAAAGAGACTTCTTGTTGCCAAGTAGCCTCATCGAGTAATAAGGCAAGAAAGATGATCTGTGGAGGGTTGGAGGTAAGACCACGGAGGATCTTCCGGCGTAAAGAGTCGTCGGAGGAAGCTGCATCGCCATTTTGAGAAAAAGTGTGGTGGGATCAGAGTCGGAGAAGGAGAGGAAAGTGATAAGAAGGAAGAGTGTAGAATACAAGAGCTGGAGAAAGATGTGGAAGAGTGTGCTCCTCACAAGCCCTCTCACTCGCCACGTCAGATTTATTTTTTTCACTCACCACGTCAGATTTGTTTTTTTTTTTGGTTTAATATATTTGTTGTTGTTCTTATTGCTTAATTTAGATATTGATCAATGATTAATTTGCACATCAAATACATAGCTAAATTTCTATTAAAAATATAAAAAATCTACTGATGCTAATTAACTTATCATTTTGACACTTCAATATAGATTATTTACTTTTAGCATATATTCAATATATATATTTTACTCTAAAGGTGTTTGAGGTTTTTGGTACACATATTAAGAATCTATATAAATTTTCTAATCTTTTTTTAAATCAAAATCTTTTTTTTATACTAAAATATCAATTATCATTAATTAATAGAACATATTTAGAGTATAATCACCAATCGGAAAACTTTACCATCTTATTTAAAATAAAGTGTTAAATGTTTAGAAAAAAATAGAAAGTTTTTTTTTTTTTTTAAAGAATATGGTTTTTGAAAAAATGTAAAGTTAAAAAAATTGGAAAATGTAATAAACAAAAAAAAAAAGAAATGAAACTTACTATAGAAAGATATTCAATAATGATGGGTAAATAATTATTATAAATTATTAAAATTTTAAACTAAATTTTTCTAATATATATTAAAATTATTCATCATGATTTTCAATATTTTCTACAAATCAATTCACGAGACTATTTTATTGCTGATTTAGATTTTAGGTTATTCACTTTGATGTGGATCATAATCTAGTTTGTCTACAAAAAGAGTAGTGCCCAAGAGCGTCGAAGTTAAAAACCCTAATTTCTATTTGAAAACAATGACGTCGATATCTGATCTTTCACAGGATTTGGTAGAGGAGATATTGTCTAGGGTTCCAATGACTTCTCTAGGAGCAGTGAGATCAGCTTGTAAACTATGGAACACTTTTTCCAAAGCATTGTGGTAAAGCAGCTAAGGAGATTATGGTAGTCATGATGTATCATTTTGAGGCTTATTTAATGAGCATCAATCTCCATAACCATAAAGACTTGGTAGATCCATTTATAAAGAAAATAGGTAAACTTAAACACGTCAAAATATGTGAAGTATTTCACTGCAACGGCTTATTGTTATGCGTCACTCATGAATATAAGCTCGTGGTATGGAACCCGTATTCGGGTCAAACCAGGTGGATCCAACCTAGAAACGACGACATATCAGGCCCTGTTATATATTGTGTGGGATACGACATCAACAACAACCACAAAATCTTGAGGCTTTCTTATTGGATTGATAATTATGTTTGTGAAATCTATGATTTTAAGTGTAATTCATGGAGGGTTCTTGATATCACTATGGAGTGGTATATACGTGGTCAGGGTGTGTCCTTTCAGAAAAATAGCTACTTTATTGCTCAGGGAATGAGGAAAGTGGAAGAAGTAACGTCGAAAGGTTGTTTACTCTGTTTTGATTTTACAAGAGAGAGATTTTTGGGCCTTTCTCTGCCATGTCACTGTCGTATTGAAGATTCTGTAATTCTATCTGTTGTTAGAGAAGAGAAGCTTGCAGTGTTATATAGGAGGCGTGATGCATTAGAGATAGAGATATGGATTACAAATAAGATTGAGCCCAATGAAGTATTGTGGAGCCACTTCTTAAAACTTGACATGGTAAGATTTCATTATTTAAATGGAAGTTTCTTCGTCGACGAGAAGAAGAAAGTGGCAGTGATTTGTGATGTAGACTATACAACGAGGGCCAACTACAAAGCTTGCATGGTTGGAGAGGGTGGACACTACAGAGAGTGGATCTCGGAGAATCTATCTGTCAGCCACATATGTGCTCTTATGTTCCAAGTTCGATGCAGATCCAGTAATGTTCCAATACTTACAAGACGACAAGATTCATTAGTCTTATTGTATAGTTTACATTAATACTTATGTTTTTTTTCCATCAAGTGTTCTCATGTCCTTTTGAACAAGACTGGTCAATTATTTCCATGTAGTTACAGGTTTTGTTAAAAACTTACTACAATTCGTTTTCTTCTTTGGAGTGATCCTCTTTGCTAGTCTTTTGTTAATGCACGGAACAAAGATCTGTAGTGATGTAATGTTAGAATTTAATGTCGCATGTGGGCCGCTGTTGTGATAGCATCTGAATTTGCAAGGCAACATCAACAATCCATCAATCATCAATGTGCCTTCTTTCTGTTGTGGACTCACTGCCTACTGGAGTGGTTATCAAGGTTTTGCAAATGTCAATGAATGGGGAGGTCATTTGGTAGTTATTGGTTCTTGAAAAAGGTGGATTTCTTGAACAAGAGCTTGTGGGTAATTCTCAGCGCCAGCTCAAGCAAATGATAGGCCCTGGGACAAAAAAAAAATTTTTGGGCCATTATTATATATATATATTTTTTTACAAGAATAAAACACAGAAAAACATTGTTTACAAAGCATAAAGCTACGAGATCATTTTGCAGAATAGATTTATGGGCCCCCTTTAGTAAACATTATATCATTTCTTTATACTTACAAAGAAAAGAAATTTTCAAAAAAGGGACAGTTTTTGACATTTGTCTCACCAATTGACAAAGTGGAGAAAGGGTTTCACGGTTTGACATTTAGCCAGATTTCTGACGAAAATGCTCCTCAACTAGAGACGTTACTGTGCTGATTCGGTTTCTCTGATTTTGTTTATTTGGTTTGTTAATATTTTTGAATTTAAATTAAAAGAAAAAAGAAAAGAAGAAGAACGGCGAAGAAAGCGAAGAGAAAGAGGAGGAAAAAATCTGAGTACAAACCGTTTCCATTCTTCAATCTACTATCTCATTTTGATTCTTCTACTTGGAAACGACCAAAAGGGGGAAAAATTCCGGCGAATTCCGTTTCCATTCCTCTTTAAATCTTTCATTATCTTTCCGTTTTGCCGAGACGACCAAAAGCAAAGAAATTTCCGACGAGTAAGATAACGGAGTACAGATGACGACGAAGAAAAAGAATCTATTGAAGAAGAAGACTCGGCGCCGCGCGAAGGTAGCGAAAAGTTCAAAAAAGGGTGAAGCGAATAGTTCACCGGAGAAGGGAATCGAGATTCCGAGTCCCCCGCCGGAGCCCGAGAGCACAAGTCAGGGTAAGTATCTGTAAACACCGAAATCAAATTTAATTGGGAATGGGGATTCAGGAATCCCAAATATGGGGATACTGATTTCGAATCGAGGATTTATTTTCTGGGTTTTCAAACTAAATCGATTTTTGCGCCAAAATAGAAAATTGAGAAGATTTATGTTCTAATCTATGTACGTACGCAAAATTGGAGTTATTAATTTTTCTACTTTAAGTGATTTTGAAAAAAATGCGTGGCCTACTAGGGTTTATTCGTTATAGTGTTCGTATGTTAAATTAGTTATGGATATTAGAAACTGACATATTTCCTATTACACATAACTTGCAGGAAGCATGGATCCGATTGAAGAAGGTAATATTGGTGAAGGATGTGAAGAGTTACCGCCGAGGCTTTTTGCTCTGGATAAGTACCCTACTGAAACGAAGATCAATGCGTATTCCAAACCGGAGTACCTTGCTGATATTGCAACAGCCCTTAAAGGAACTGAAGAAATGGCTTTTCTCCTATCTTCTCCTTTTGGGGAGCTCTTTAATATCCCTCCTAACATGGTATCATTTTCTGGCAAGCTAGTTCTTGGCTTGATTTGCCGTCAGTTAGTGACCAAAAAACGTTATGAGATGTGGATGGTTTTTGGTGGTCATCCACTGCGGTTTGGATTAAGAGAATTTTATCGGATAACCGGTTTGGAGTGTGGGAAGTATCCGAAAAAAAAAGCTGTGGAGAAAGTGGTAACGGTGAAAAAGGGATGTACTACTGTGTGGAAGACTCTATTTGGTGATAAGTCTCCAACTATTGATGATTTGGTCGTGAGCTTGAAGACAGAGAAAAAAATGCCAGGATGGAAGAGACTAGCATTAGCGCTGATAATCATTGTTGATGGTGTTCTAATCTGTCAGAAGCAGCGAGTGCGACCTGTTTCAAAGACAGTTGAGATGACGAAAGACCTTGATTTCTTCTGCAAATACCCATGGGGAAGGCTTGCTTTCAACCGTACACTGGACATGATATCCAGATTCAAATCCGCTAAAAAGATAGAAGATGTGATAATTGGTTGCAAGCAGCAGTCTTATATGGTCTATGGCTTCCCACTAGCGCTGCAGCTTTTTGCCTTCCAAACTATCCCATCTCTTCGTAAGCTAGTTCCTTCTTCTGCAGATGTAAACTTATTCACTCAGAGGTCAATCAAGAATCTGGCCAAAATGCATCCAATCCGGACTTCCAGTATCTTGGAGTGCGAAGCTGCAGATCAGGTGTGTACGTTTTCTAATATACGTACATCGGATGATAATTTAATACGTACATTCACTATGACGTTAAAAACAAAATCTTATAGGTGGATGTCACCTATATTGTGGATCCAGAGGATACTGATTGTCCTGAATCCTTAGTATGGAAAAAGGAAGTTGAGGATCATAGAGTTGATTACATTTTGAGCAAGCTGATAGATGGGCACAAGTGGTCCGAAAACACATGGGTTGGAGGTCATGATGAATGTCCAAAGCAGCTGCGGCCAGAAGAGAAAGGTAAGCATAAGTACAAACGATTTTCTCATTTATGAAAATACTCCTCTAATATAAAAACATAAATAAACTCAGTTGGTGCAGTCAGGAAGAGGCAACTACGGCAAAGAGCTCCGGTTGCTAATAAAAACAGAAAATTGATGTTGAAGCTGAAGAGAATGACAATGCTGGGGAAAGTTTAGAAGATGAGAGGTTTGATAAGTATGTTGTTGAACTGAGGCGGTGTATGAGGAGGCAAGAAACACAAAGGAACAAACTACATATGGAATTAAAAGAGTTCATCCGTGAGGAGATTTGTGCTGCTCTAAATCCAAAGGGCAAAACACAAGTACAACCTGAACCTTCCAAGGTATCAAAGAGCCCTATTAAAAAGGTGGACAAGCCAATGGTAAAGAAATCCAGAAATGTTCATATTGGAACAAGGAGATCTCCTCGGCTGAAGAAAATGAATACTTCAGAAAACAATGTTGATGATGTACCTCCACCTTCTAAGAAGGTATGTCGTGTACGTACATTATGTTTGCGAAGATAATGTACGTACATACATTATGTTTGCGATGATAATGTTTTTTATGTTACATGATGTAGAGAAAACTGCCCCAGAATCTGCTAGAAAAGAAGCAGATATGTCTGACAATGAAAGTGCTGGACTTTATTATAGTGGACCTTCTGACGAGGTATGTCGTGTACTAGAAATAGTCACAGAGTGTAGTACTGTACGTACATAAACTATAAATATGTTTATTTACTTTATTTCAGGACGAAGTCATATGTGATGGTGGTGAATATGACAAAGGACCGCTAGATTCAGCTTCCAAACAACAAGATAAGTCTGACACTGAAATGACAGACATTTCTGAAGATGATAAGGACGTGTTTCCTGCTGAGGAACACAAAACTGGAGATGATGAGGACGTCTTGCCTGAGGATGAAACCAAAACTGGAGATGATCAGGACATGTTGCATCAGGAGGAAAGCAACGTTGGAGATGATCAAGAATTGTTTAATGCTCCTAGTTCCCCAAAACGTGGAGCTGACAAATTGGAGGTATGATCAAGTCAATGTTAAACTTTGAGTGGCAGATAATAATGACCTATCCCTTAACTAATGAGTAATGCACCAATTGTACGCTTCTCCGGCTGATGAACCTACAATTGCTGGTCAGAGGAATGCTGGAGGGGCTATTGGCGTTGATGGCAACCTTAGTTCTATGCCTTCACCGTCTTCTGTAATCGTATACACTGTAAGTTACTTATATGTTAGTACAATAAGTTCGTTCCTCATTAATGTAACATAGCAACAAAGTAAAAATTATGTTTTCATCAGGTACTAACAGAGTTGGGAACCTCTGTTGATGTAACTGCTGGTACCAATGTCATCGAGGTAACTGTGTTTATTAAATTAACTTATAATTTCTATACACATGATGTACGTACATATGCGTTATTGCGTACATATAACTGATGGTGGTGTACGTTATTTCGATAAGGTTGAACCAATGGTGAAAGCAGATATTATTTTGGGAGGAGATAACAACACTATCGTTGATGAGGCTAGAACAACCGCATCTGCTCCTCAAAATCTTGTAAGTCTATATATGTTATTTACATATCATGCAATGATTTCAATATAAGCTTTCTATTTGTTTGATTTAGTAATTATATCTATTTTTCAAGAGGAAACAAAAAATGATTTTGATGTGGGAGTAAGTGAGTCTCAAAAACCTGAGGATGTTGTCCCCGTAAAAGAGAAGAAATCTGTTAAACGAAGAGTTACTTTTGAGGATACAGAGGATATAACCACCTCTACCACGGAAAATCAAGTAAGTTATAGAGGCTGTTGTTAATAAATTATATACATATATCTTTAAGGTTTTAAATATGACCGTAAAATAATTTGACATTTTTTTTGGTGCAGGAGGAACCGAAGAAGGATGCATGTGTTGAAGGAAGTGATGGTCAAATTCCTGATGATTCCAAGGATGTCGAGATATTAATTGAGACGAAAGAATCATCATCAAACTCTGCGTTTTTAATCAAGGCCGGAAATGAACCATACAACCCATTAGAGAAGGTGAACGATGCAAAATTCTAGCTTTTAACTGATATCATCAATGGACCAGATGTGTAAGAATCTCTAACTTCATTAAATATCATATACTCTTTCTTTTCACTTTAAATGCAAATCATGTATTTAACTATGTTTTGTTTGCTCTGACGTTCAGGGTCCACACAGTTTTTGGATTACGAAAACTAGAGAACCGGTTTTTCGCCACCCTTGCAGAACCTGGTGAATGGGTTCAATCTAATGTACGTATTGTTGGTATACGTCCACATTTGTTGA